ACCACTTGTAAAAGAATGAAACTAAACACTTTCTAACACCATACACAAAAATAAACTCAAAATGGATTAAAGATCTAAATGTAAGACCAGAAACTATAAAACTCCTAGAGGAGAACATAGGCAAAACACTCTCCGACATGAATCACAGCAGGATCCTCTATGACCCACCTCCCAGAATATTGGAAATAAAAGCAAAAATAAACAAATGGGACCTAATGAAACTTAAAAGCTTTTGCACAACAAAGGAAACTATAAGCAAGGTGAAAAGACAGCCCTCAGATTGGGAGAAAATAATAGCAAACGAAGCAACAGACAAAGGATTAATCTCAAAAATATACAAGCAGCTCCTGCAGCTTAACTCCAGAAAAATAAATGACCCAATCAAAAAATGGGCCAAAGAACTAAACAGACATTTCTCCAAAGAAGACATACAGATGGCTAACACACACATGAAAAGATGCTCAACATCACTCATTATCAGAGAAATGCAAATCAAAACCACAATGAGGTACCATTACACGCCAGTCAGGATGGCTGCTATCCAAAAGTCTACAAGCAATAAATGCTGGAGAGGGTGTGGAGAAAAGGGAACCCTCTTACACTGTTGGTGGGAATGCAAACTAGTACAGCCACTATGGAGAATAGTGTGGAGATTCCTTAAAAAACTGGAAACAGAACTGCCATATGACCCAGCAACCCCACTTCTGGGCACACACACCAAGGAAACCAGATCTGAAAGAGACACGTGTACCCCAATGTTCATCGCAGCACTGTTTATAATAGCCAGGACATGGAAGCAACCTAGATGCCTATCAGCAGACGAATGGATAAGGAAGCTGTGGTACATATACACCATGGAATATTACTCAGCCACTAAAAAGAATTCATTTGAATCAGTTCTAATGAGATGGATGAAACTGGAGCCCATTATACAGAGTGAAGTAAGCCAGAAAGATGAAAAGCATTACAGCATACTAACACATATATATGGAATTTAGAAAGATGGTAACGATAACCCTATATGCAAAACAGGAAAAGAGACACAGATGTACAGAACAGACTTTTGGACTCTGTGGGAGAAGGCGAGGGTGGGATGTTTCGAGAGAACAGCATCGAAACATGTATATTATCTGTGGTGAAACAGATCAGCAGCCCAGGTTGGATGCATGAGACAAGTGCTCAGGCCTGGTGCACTGGGAAGACCCAGAGGGAACGGGTAGAGAGGGAGGTGGGAGAGGGGATCGGGATGGGGAATACATGTAAATCCATGGCTGATTCATGTCAATGTATGACAGAAACCACTAAAATATTGTAAAGTAATTAGCCTCCAACTAATACAAGTAAATGGGAAAAAAAAAAAATTCACTTCCATTGAGTCGGTGATGCCATCCAGCCATCTCATCCTCTGTCGTCCCCCTCTCTACCCGCCTTCAATCTTTCCCAGCATCAGGGTCTTTTCGAATGAATCAGTTCTTCACATCAGGTGGCCAGAGTATCGGAGTTTCAGCTTCAGCATCAGTCCTTTCAATGAATATTCAGGATTCATTTCCTTTAGGAAATGGTTGGATCTCCTTGCAGTCCAAGGGACTCTGAAGACTCTTCTTCAACACCACAGTTCAAAAGCGTCAATTCTTTGGCACTCAGCTTTCTTTCTGGTCCAACTCTCACATCCATACACGACCACTGGAAAAACCATACCCTTGATTAGACAGGCCTTTGTTGGCAAAGTAATGTCTCTGTTTTTAACATGCTGTCTAGGTTGGTCATAACTTTCCTTCCAAGGAGCAAGTGTCTTTTAATTTCATGGCTGCAGTCACTATCTGCAGTGATTTTGGAGTCTCCAAAAATAAAGTCTGTCACTGTTTCCACTGTTTACCCATCTATTTGAGGTGAAGTGATGGGACCAGATGCCATGTTCTTAGTTTTCTGAATGTTAAGCTTTAAGCCAACTTTTTCACTCTCCTCTTTCTCTTTCATCAAGCGGCTGTTTAGTTCTTCTTCGCTTTCTGCCATAAGGGTTGTGTCATCTGCATATCTTAGGTTATTGATATTTCTCCTGGCAGTCTTGATTCCAGCATGTGCTTCATCCAGCCCAGCATTTCTCATGATGTACTCTTCATATAAGTTAAATAAGCAGGGTGACAATATACAGCCTTGATGTACTTTCCCTACTTGGAACCAGTCTGTTGTCCCATGTCCAGTTCTAACTAGGCCAGAATACTGAAGTGGGTAGCCTTTCCCTTCTCCAGGGGATCTTCACAACCCAGGAATTGAACCCAGGTCTCCCGCATTGCAGGCGGATTCTTTACCAGCTGAGCCAGAAGGGAAGACGGAAAAACCGTACCTTTGACTATATGGACCTTTGTCGGTGAAGTGATGTCTCTGCTTTTTAATACGCTGTCTAGGTTTGTCATAGCTTCTCTTCCAAAGAGCAGGCGTCTTTTAGTTTCCTGGCTGCTGTCACCACAGTGAGTTTGGAGCCCAAGAAGATAAAATCTGTCACTGTTTCCACTTTTTCCCCATCTATTTGCCATGAAGTGATGGGACCAGATCCCTTATCTTAGTTTTTTGAATGCTGAATTTTAAGCCAGCTTTTTCACTCATCCTTCAACCCTCATCAAGAGACTCTTTACTTCCTCTTTGCTTTCTGCCCTTAGAGTGGCATCATCTGCATCTCAGAGGTGGTTGATACTTTCCCCAGCAGTATCAGCAGCACAGTGGTTGCTTTATGGTAACTTAATGTAGCCAGTGGGCTTCCCTGCTGGCTCTGCCTGTCAGTGCCGGAGACTCGGGTTTGATCCCTGGGTCGGGAAGATCCCCTGGAGAAATGGCAGTCCACTCAGTATTCTTGCCTGGGCAGTCTCATGAACAGAGGAGCCTCGTGGGCTATAGTTCACAGGATCTCAAAAGAGCTGGACACGACTCAGCGACTAAACAACAAATGTTAATCAGTACAGTTCTTTCATGGTAGCCTAACCTATACACTAGTAAATGAATTGTAAAAAAAAAAAACTTTTTATGGCATAAAGTATCACAGTCATATTCATATCCTTTTTAAAAAGCCAGTGATATGGGATTATTGGCTGATAACCAGTTTCTCCAGCTATGAGACAGAGAGATTGTACATAATACAATTCTTTAAAAACAAGGTTATAAAACAGTAAGGAAATTGTTATTAATTTTATATTAAATATTACTCACCTTATGTACCTACATGTTTTATGCATTCACAGCAAATCTTTTTCTTAATTTTTTCAGTATTTCATCTGCAAGTTTTTTTTAATTGTTGAAAGTCTCCAAAATTTTTTCCAATATGTTTATTGAAAAAAAATCCACGTATAAGTGGATCCATGCTGTTCAAACCCATTTTGTTCAAGGGTCATCTGCACATTCATGAGAGAAGAAGAGTAAAAAAAGAAAACAACATCGTAGTGGGTTTCTTTTGAAAATGATTTTCACCCTCCAGACACTTGAAGGATTTAGGGACCTTCCCAGCCCATACTTTGAAAACTGCTGGTCTATGATAATATTAACTTTAGCCAACTGGAATGATAAGTTAAGTGTATTAGCCTTTCTTAATTCTTCTCATGTAATTTATATATATATATATATATGATTAAGCAGATCTTTATAAATAATTAATAAAAACAGTTCCACTGTAAAGTGTGTCTATCAGCTCTTCCCCAAAATGAGCTGGCTGTTCACTGTACTGATGGTTCAGTTCAGTCGCTCAGTCGTGTCCAACTCTTTGTGACCCCATGAATCACAGCACGCCAGGCCTCCCTGTCCATCACAAACTCCCGGAGTTTATTCAAACTCATGTCCATCGAGTCCATCCAGCCATCTCATCCTCTGTCGTCCCCTTCTCCTCCTGCCCCCAATCCCTCCCAGCATCAGGGTCTTTTCCAATGAGTCAACTCTTCGCATCAGGTAGCCAAAGTATTGGAGTTTCAGCTTCAGCATCAGCCCTTCCAATGAACACCCAGGACTGAGCTCCTTTAGGATGGACTGGTTGGATCTCCTTGTAGTCCAAGGGACTCTCAAGAGTCTTCTCCAACACCACAGTTCATAAGCATCAATTCTTTGGGGCTCAGCTTTCTTCACAGTCCAACTCTCACATCCATACATGACCACTGGAAAAACCATAGCCTTGAGTAGATGGACCTTTGTTGGCAAAGTAATGTCTCTGCTTTTTAATATGCTATCTAGGTTGGTCATAACTTTCCTTCCAAGGAGTAAGCATCTCTTAACTTCATGGCTGCAATCACCATCTGCAGTGATTTTGGAGCCCAAGAAAGTAAAGTCTGCCACTGTTTCCACTGTCTGCCCATCTATTTCCCATGAAGTGATGGGACCAGATGCCATGATCTTAGTTTTCTGAATGTTGAGATTTAAGCCAACTTTTTCACTCTCCTCTTTCACTTTCATCAAGAGGCTTTTTAGTTCCTCTTCACTTTCTGCCATAAGGGTGGTGTCATCTGCATATCTAAGGTTATTAATATTTCTCCTGGCAATCTTGATTCCAGGTAGGACTATTGAAAGCAGGACTATTCAAAGTGGAAGTCTGTTATCAGGCTGTTATCTACAACCCTTCTCAGTAAAGTCGTGTCCCCACTTGGAGCCTGCAACTCAACATGTGTGTACATGCATTCTAAGTCACTTCAGTTTTGTCCAACTCTTTGCAAGCCTTTGGACTGTAGCCCGCCAGGCTCTGTCCGTGGGGATTCTCCAGACAAGAATGCTAGATAGAGTGGGTTGCCACACCCTCCTCCAGAGGATCTTTCCAACCCAGGGATCAAACCGTGTCTCCTGCATTGGCAGGTGGGTTCTTTGCCAGTAGCGTCACCTAGGAAGCCCCAGTGCAACATGACTTGAGGTTTATTAGTAGAAAATGTATCACTAACCAATTTAGCTTTCTTTCCTTAAGAATTTGCACCTAACAAATAATGCACCCAAAATAGAGGGTGTAGCTACTCCATTGTGTTGTGTTTTGTTTTTAGCAAAGTTCCAATGGTCCTGTGAAGAAGTCCATGCGTGAGAAGGCTGTTGAGAGAAGGAATGTCAATAAAGAGCACAACAGTAACTTTAAAGCCGGCTATATTCCAATCGATGAAGATCGCCTCCATAAAACAGGACTGAGAGGGAGGAAGGGCAATTTAGCCATCTGTGTGATTATCCTCCTGTTTATCCTGGCCGTCATCAATTTAATTGTGAGTATTTAACATGGAGTATTGTTTTCTTACTTAGCATGAGGAATTTTTCTTCTCTTTTTAGTAGAATCATGGTAAAGAGTCTGCCTGCAGTGGGAGACCCAGGTTTAGTCCGTCCCTCAGTTGGGAAAATCCCCTGGAGAAGGAAATGGCAGCCCACTCCAGTATTCTTGCCTGGAGCATTCCATGGACAGAGGAGCCTGGCGGGCTACAGTCCATGGGGTTGCCAGGAGTCAGACACGGCTCATTTTTTGGCATGTAGCTTTACTGTACTTGGCCTTTACTGCATGTTTTACAGAGTGAAGGTTTGTGGCAGCCTTGTCCCAGGCATGCCTGTTAGTGCCATTTTTCCAGCAGCATCTGCTCACTTCAGTCTCCTTGTCACAGCTCAGGAATTTTCACTATATCTCAGGGTTTTTCTCACTATTATATTTCTTATGGTGTTCTCTGGCCAGTGGTCTTTAATATTACCATTGTAATTGTGTGGGGTTCCCACTATCCACATCCATAAAAGATGGTGAATTTAATTGATAAATGTTGTTTGCATTCTGATTGCTCCTTCCACTAGCCCTTTCCCCTTTCACTCTTTCTCTCCCTCTACTCGAAGTGAAGTGAAGTGAAGTCACTCGGTCATGTCTGACTCCTGTCAGGCTCCTCTGTCCATGGGATCTCCCAGGCAAGAATACTGGAGTGGGCTGCCATTTCCTTCTCCAGGGGACCTTCCCGACACAGGGGTCTAACCCAGGTCTCCTGCACTGCAGGCAGACTCCTTACTGGCTGAACCATTCCCTGAGAGGCCATTCCCATGGCCTCTTAAGTGTTCAAGTGAAAGGCAGAGTTGCACCTGCAACTTTTAAATCAAAAGTTAGATATGACTGAGCTTAGTGAGGAAGGTACATGACAAGCTGAGATCAGCTGAAAGCTTGGTCTCTTATGCCAAACACTTAGACAAGTTGTGAATGCAAAGAAAAGCTCCTTAAAGGCAATTGAAGGTCCTACTCTAGGGAATTCCTTGGTGTTTCAGTGGTTAGGATTTGACCCTTTGACTGCCAACGTGCCCAGTTCAGTCCCTGATCAAGAAATGAAGATCTCACAAGCTGTGCAGCACAACAACAACAAAAAACTTAATTCCCTTTCTAGAGAACACATGAGTGGTGAGAAAACAAAATGGTTTTATTGCTGATACAGAAAGAGTTTTACTTGTCTGGGTGGAAGGTCAAACCAGCCACAAAACTCCCTTAAGTCAAAGCCAAATCCAGAGTAACCAATAGCCTTAAATTCTATGAAGGCTGAAAGAGGTGAGGAAGCTGCAGAAGTTTGAAGCTAATGGATGTTGGTTCATGGCGTTTAAGAAAAAAGGCTCTCCATCACATAAAGTACAAGGTGAAATAACCTGTGCTGATACAGAAGCTGCAACTAGTTATCTAGAAGACCTAGCTAAGATCATTACTGAAGGTGACTTCACTAAATGACAAATTATCAATGCAGACAAAACAGCCTTATATTGGAAGAAGATGCCATCTAAGACTTTTGTAGCTAGAGAGGAGAAGCCAATGCGTGGCTTCAAAGCCTCAGAGGACAGGCTGATTCTCCTGTTAGGGGCTGAGACAGCCATTTACTCTAAGTTGCATCCAGCACTTATTTGCCATTTGGAAAATCCTAGGACCCTAAGAATTATGCTAAATCTTCTGTGTCTGGGCTCTATAAGTGGAACAACCAAGTCTGAATAACTGCACACTTGTTTACAACATAGATTACTGAATATTTTAAGCCCACTGTTGAGATTTGCTGCTCAGAAAAAAAAAAAAAAAGTTTCTTTAAAAATGTTACTGCTCATTGACAATGCATCAGTCACCCAAGAGCTCTGATAGAGATGCACAGTGTTGTTTGTAGTGTAGATGTAGTGTTGTTTTCATGCCTGGTAACGCAACATCCAGTATGCAGCCCATCGATCAAGCAATAATTTTGACTTCCAGGTCTTATTAGGAAGTACATTTTTTTATTTAAAAAAAAAGAAGTACATTTTTTAAGGATAACAGCTACCATAGATAGTGACTCCTCTGATGGATCTGGGCAAAGTAAGTTGAAAAGCCTTTGGAAAGAATTCATTATTCCAGATGCCATCAAGAACAGTGGGGGTTTATGGGAAGAGGTCAAAATATCAATGTAAACAGGAGTTTGAAAGAAGTTGATTGCAGTCCTCATGATTGACTTTCAGGGGTTCAAGACTTCAGTGGATCAAGTAACTATAGACGTGGTAGAAATATCAAGATAATTAGAAGTAGAGCCTGAAGATGTGATAAATTACTACCATCCCCCTGATAAAGGATAAAGAGTTGCTTTTTACAGATGAGCAAAGGAAGTGGTTTCTTGAGATGAAATCTCCTGAGGGAGATGCTATGAAGATTATGGACATGACAATAAAGGATTTAGACTTTTACATAAATTTAGTTGATAAAGCAGTGGCAGGTCCTGCATAGAGATGCCTCAAAGCCTTGTTAAGAATGTTTGGATCTCCATGAAGCCCTACTGTACCCACGTTTACCTGGAGATTTAGGTAGGCATGGCTTCATCATTTATAAAATCAGGAGTGCTGATAAAAGAGGTAAAGCCTTGAAAGCTTCTAGTCCTGCACCTGCTCGTGGTCATCATTAACGAGCTTTACTTGAGTGGGACGTAGGTCTGACTGTGTTGTGGGAACACGGGACGTTGTGTATGCTTGTAGCAGTGCTGCTGCCCTCGGGCATGAATAAATGTGCCTGTGAGGACCTCTCCCCCACCACACACACACAAACACACACACACACACACACACAATAATAAAATCAGCAGCAGGATTTGAGAGGATTGGCTCCAATTTTGAAAGAAGTCCTACTGTAGGTAAAATGCTATCAAACAGCTGTGTGTACTACAGAGACATCATGAAAGGAAGAGTCAGTGCAGCAAACTTCATTATCATCTTATTTTAAAAAATTGCCGCAGCCACCCCAGGCCTTCAGCAACCACCACCCCGATCTGTCAGCAGCCATGAATGTCAAGGCAAGACCCTCCACCAGCCAAGAGTTTATACTCACTAAAGGCTCAGGTGATAGCATTTTTTTTAGCAAAAAGTACTTTTTAATTAAGGTATGTACATTTTTTTTTTTAACCTCACTTCATGGCTTGCAGGATCTTAGTTCCCTGATTAGAAATCAAACCCAGATCCTCAGTAGTGAGAGTGCTGGGTCTTAACCACTGGACTACCAGGTGTACCAACAGGATCCCTGAAAGTTGTTTTTTTAGACGTAATGTAGTTGCATGCTTAATAGACTACAATATATTGTAACCTTAAGTTTTGTATGCACTTGGAAGCCAAAAAAGTTTGTGTGACTTGCTTTATTACAATATTCACTTTATTGCTATTATCTGGAACCAAACCCACAATATCTATGAAGATATGTTTTATCTCTTACTGAATTTTAATGAATATTTTCTTTATGAAAACCTAGTGTGCTAATATTGCCATCGTCAACTTAAAAAATAGCCACAACCTAAAAGTTGAGAATTATGTTTTATTCTGCGGGTATTTTTAGGAGTTCAGACCTGGTAGACAGCATATCAACTGACCCTGAGAGAACTGCTCTGAGGAGGTTAGGGGATGAGCCAGGTTATATAGAAGTTTTGCAACAAAGAGCAGGTAGTCTGAACATCAAAAGATTATAGTTAATTAAAGGAAGCCAGATATCCCAGGTTAAAGAATTTGTCACTTTTCTGTGCATGGGGAGATCCAGGAACCTGAGTTTATGGAATCATTTCTTTCACATGCCTCTCGGCTCTCGGGGGCCCGTGTCCTGTGTTTCCACATCCTGAGCGTCCCTGGAGCTCACTGTAGGGGCTGGCTGCAGCCTGATGGCCGGTCTTCTCCATCCTAAGTGTCCGTAGGGCTCATCAGCTCACACTGAAGGGCTGCAGTTGCTGATGACTGTGACATCCTCGTTTCCTGATACAGCAGCTAATACTTCATTTCTCACCGTGTACTAATTTTACTTAGAAAAAAAAATGTTTATAGACTCTTTCCTTTAAACAGCTTAACTTTTAAAAGATTAGCATCAACTCAACAGAGGAGACCTTTCCCAAGATGATTTTATTGCCTTCATCTCTCGTAAAAATACACTCCTTCATGTTTTCTTTCAACTTTTCCCAAATTTACTTTTGCCTCCTCAGCTTAAAAATTGTGAACCTTGGATGCAGTAAAAGGTTACCTTTTGCAGTCCTGAGTCTTTATTGTTGAAGAATGAAAGGACCTAAGGTAGACTAGTTTACACCAAGGTTTGAGGAATTGGTGTATTCCCCTTTCCAAAGATAATTGCTTTCTTAAAGAAGGAGACTTTTTAAATGAATCTTTACTTATTCATTTATTTGGCTGTGTCAGGTCTCAGTTGTGGCACATGGGTTTAGTTGCCCGGTGACACGTGGCATCTTAGTTCCTTGGCCAGGGATCGAACTCATGTCCCCTGCATTGCAGGGCACATTCTTAACCACCGGACCACCAGGGAAGCCCCTTAAAGACGAAGACTGTTATCCCAAGGTTGACACTACCTGAGAGTTCAGCGTGACACCCCCTGGCCTGTGTGTGGACAGACGTTTTCGGAGTGATTACCGGGGTCCCTAACACCGATCATGAACATGGATGCAGCAGTTCCAATGTGATCCCGTTCACTGTATTCTTTACTTCTAACACTCTTAAGTTAGTCCTTGTATTTTATGTACATCCAAAACATTTGTGTCCAGTTCTTCACTTAAATTGAAACGAACTGAAACTGTAAGTAGCTTTACTAGGAGCACATGTTCTGAATTTATTTTATTGAAAAGTTATGGTTAAGATGGCAAAAAAAAAAGAGACATTTTTCATCCCCTTCTGCTCTAAAAAGTTCAACCTAAGGTGACAATGTCAAGAAGCAGAAATATCTTGGAAGAAAGCAGGGGGCAGTCAGAATTCTAAATCATAATATTTGAAGACAAAAAGGTGGATGAGGAATGGCAACTTAGCAGAGAAGAGAAACTGTATGTTGGGGAGGGGGGTTGCAGAGGGCATTGGTGGAAGTGCCTTGCAGAATCCTGAAAAACCTCAGGAAGTGGAAGTACAGGTTCCTTGAAAAGCAGGCGTGAGAGGGGAACCGCAAACAGAGAGCTTCTTTGAAAAACCTGTAGAAGGAGCCATACGATCCCCAGCCCCGCTCCCCTTCCAGCCAGCAGTCACGGAGCTGCCCCTCCTCACCCTGCGCTGAACCAAACGGGATTGTTTCTGCCTGAGGGTAGGCATGGGTTTCCACAGGAAAGCAGGGGAGTCCTGCACCCTGAGCCTTGAGGCTCCCTTATCCTCATCCCCCACCTCCAGCTCCCTGCACCAGGCTTGCATTCTCTGGGCAAGACCTGAATATGCTGACGCTTGGCAGGTCCCCGTGAAAAAGCTACCTAAACCCCGTACTGTGAGGCCTGTCAGTCACTGGCCCCACCCCACACAGACCTTTCCATGAACTTTTTATAACCTCTGTGTTAGATATGAACACAGAGCCACAGGGGTCAGTGAACTTTTATGGAAAGGTCCCAGAATTGAGAAATGCTTGAAACCAAAAGCACCCAAACCATGGAGAAAGTAGGAATTCAGGGAAATAGAGAAAAGGTAGTAAATGACAGTAAACTTAGATGTTCGCCAGCAGACGAGTGAATAAGGAGGTTGTGGTACATATACACAGGATCAGGGCTTCCCTCGTGGCTCAGTTGGTAAAGAATCCGCCTGCAAAGCAGGAGACCCCGGTTCGATTCCTGGGTCGGGAATATCCACTGGAGAAGGGATAGGCTGCCCACTCCAGTGTTCTTGGGCTTCCCTTGTGGCTCAGCTGGTAAAGAATCCAGCTGCAATGTGGGAGACCTGGGTTTGATCCCTGGGTTGGGAAGATCCCCTGGAGAAGGGAAAGGCTACCCACTCCTGTATTCTGGCCTGGAGAATTCCATGGACTGTATACTCCATGGGGTCACAAAGAGTTGGACACAACTGAGTGACTTTCATTTACTTACTTATACACAATGGAATATTACTCAGCTATAAAAAGGAGCACATTTGAGTCAGTTCTAATGAGGTGGATGAAACTGGAGCCTATTATACAGAGCAAAGTACATCAGAAAGAGAAATATCAATACTGTATATTAACACACATGTATGGAATTTAGAAAGACAGTAACAATGGTCCTATGTGCAAGGCAGCAGGAGACACAGATGTGAAGAACAGGCTTTTGGACCCTGTGGGAGGAGGCGAGGGTGGGACGATTTGAGAGAGTAGCATTGAAACGTGTATATTACCGTATGTAAAATAGACAACCAGTGCAGGTTCAATGCATGAAGCAGGGCACTCACAGCCTGTGCTCTGGGACAACCCAGGGGGTGGAGTTGGGAGGGAGGTAAGTGGGGGATTCAGGATGGGGGGACATATGTGCACCCATGGCTGATTCATGTCGATGTATGGCACAAACCATCACAGTATTGCAAACTAATTTTTTAAAAAGATAAAAACACTAAAATCATTATCTTCAGAGAAGTAAGAGGATATTGCATCCATTAAACAAGGATACCATGCCATTAAAAATAATTCAAGAATATGAAAAACTCATGGAAATACACGCACATGGATGGATAGATGAATGGATAGATAGGTAGGTAGATAGATACATAGATATCGGAAGAAAAAAGAAACTTCCACAAAATTCAACAAAATTAAAGAATTAATCCATGAACTGCTGTTAATAGGAGTTTTAGAAAGAGGAGCAAACACACTAGGGAGAATGTTATCAAATAAATAAAGAAAATTTGAAAACTTCCATTCTGGGTCCGTGTGTGTATGTTAGGTCGCTTCAGTCGTACCTGAGTCTTTGCTGCCCTATGGACCGTAGCCTGCCAGGCTCCTCTGTCCATAGGATTCTCCAGACAACAACGCTGGAGTGGGTTGCTGTTTCCTACTCCAGGGGATTTTCCCCACCCAGAGATGGAAGTCTCCTGCATTGGTAGGCAGGTACCTTACCACTAGTGCCACCCGGGAAGCCCATTCTGGGTCCAGCATATGCCTAAAAAAGACTCACACCAAAGCTATCACTGTTAAAATTAAGGAGACCAGGACTAAAGAGAAGATCCTAAAATCTTTGAGAGAAGTTTTTTAAAAGATTATGTATAAAGAACACAAAATCAGAGTGGCATCAGACCTTTCAAAGGCAGTGCGGGAAACCAGCAGGCAGGAAAGCAAGGGCTTTAACATTCAGACAAAATAATTTCGAATCTAGGAATGTGTGTCAAGCTAAACTGTCAATCAAATGTGAAAGATTATAGAGACATTTTCTTAGCCATGCTCAAAAACTATTTACTTTCCATACATTCTTCCTAAGGAAGCCACAGGAGCCCGCTTTATTGAAAGCAGGCACTACACCAAGAAGGATGAAGACAAGGATGCAGGAAGCTGGGCGCCCACGCCGGGAAAGAAGACGGAGGGTGTGGCGTGAAAGTGAAGGGAGGGCGCAGGGTGGCGGCTGTGAGGCGGACTCAGAGGGCAAGGACAGGCTTCAGGCAGAAGATGAGGGGGCCAGAAAGAGTTCCCGGGAGAGGAAAACAGAACTAACATTTTCTGGGAGATTTGGACTTTTAGAACATTTTATTGAGAGACATTTTACAGAAATGTTGGAAAGCTTGAAAAGACTTAGTCTGATATTCAGAGAAATTAAGCAAATGAGGGAAAGACAGGTATTAAACTCTGAAAGATACAAAGCCCAAGAAAAGAACCACCATCATAGTACAGGCTTGGCTTAGTGTGAATAATATATATATTGTCATAATGGCTGAGAGTACTGAACATGGATGGAACATGGACTGGAGTTAGGGGAGAAGAAATGTAAAGGAGCTAAAATTCTCTCTGTTGAAATAGATTAATAGATGACAATCTGAAATTGATCAGTAAAGACATAACACACACATTATCTAGAAATATGGAGAGAAGTTCTAGACAAAAATAGTTAAAATTGCTTAAAGTGGACAAGATACAGAGGGGGGTAAAAGAAATTAACTACTTCCTTTTTTTTTACTTTTAGTTATTTGTATATAATACCTTGATTAAAATAAAATTGGTTTTGTTTGTGAGTGGAAACCCAGTTTATGTGTTTATGTCACTGATGAAACCATTTAGGAAGTTTAATCCTTTGGCAGCTACCTTTTCTGTTTGCTTTCAAGTTGTGTTAAGAATGTATGCTGCCTATCAACAGTGGGTTTGATTCCTTTTTTAGATAACACTTGTTATCTGGGCCGTGATTCGCATCGGACCAAATGGCTGTGATAGCATGGAGTTTCATGAAAGTGGTCTGCTTCGATTTAAACAAGTATCTGACATGGGAGTTATACATCCTCTCTATAAGAGCACAGTAGGAGGAAGACGAAACGAAAATTTAGTCATCACTGGCAACAACCAGCCTGTAAGTAACCATATTATTTGAGAAACATTAGAGAAAAATTCTTTGTAAAAACCTCAAGTTGATTGTTTGAAATGGATATTTTCCTTTAGAGAAAATTCATAATTATATTTGATAATATTGGCCTTCTAATCTATTAATATTCGGTATTTTCTTAATATTCTATGTTTTGTGTCATGGTAACATTTTCTGGGATAGATTCTTTTCTCCTCCACATGAAAAAACCATTTTAAAAAGCATCTTCGTCCCACTGTCGCCTTCCCCCACTGTGTCCAATATGACATTGTAAAACAGTTATCCTCCAGTTAAAAATAAATTTAAAAAACATCACCTTCCCAGGTTGGAATAACCTCTGCTCTCTGGGAGTCTGGTAGGGAATACGTCCTAGTTAGGGGCAGCCCCTGCCGAGTGGCTAGTATAGGTGACCAGAGCCTGAAGGAAGCATCCTCACTGGCCACGCCCGTCTTAGCTCTGGGTCCCTGTGCTCGGCCACCGTCCGCTTTCTGCCAACCGTTACAGCGTGTAAGCATGTCAGCCCTCACTTTAAAGAGCTCTTCTCCCAAGTGGGTGGGGGGAGTCAGAAAGAGGCAGTGAAAATTACTTGAAGTTAAAAGTCTGTTATTGTAGAGTTTTTGATGATGCTCTTGATGAATTTTGGATGCAGCCTTTTTCAAAAACATATTCATGATGAAGTGTTTTTCTGAAGATTGTTTTTCAGCAAGGGACAACAAAGCTCAGTGTAGAAAAGAACAAAACTTCTATCACAAGCGACATTGGCATGCAGTTTTTCGACCCAAGGACTCAAAATATCTTATTCAGCACAGACTATGAAACTCATGAGTTTCATTTGCCAAGTGGAGTGAAAAGTCTGAATGTTCAAAAAGCATCTACTGAACGGGTATGGTTTATTTTCTTTGCTTTATTAATGGAAGAGAATTAACTGTCTAGAGTTACAAAGTGTGTTTGGCGGGGGGAGGCAGTTTTACTGATACAGTGCTGTGAAATAATTAACTCCAAAAGAGTGGAAAAGATTAGTTCTACATTTGTCATCAGCTGGTTTGTGTGATCATTATCAAATCATCTCTTTATCTCTACATCTATAAAATGTGAATGAAAACACTTGCCTTTCTTATTTTTTCATTGAAACTTCTACTTTTCTATCTCTAATAATAATTCTCACTTTACTTTAGAAATTCTTCATCACTAGTTTGTTTGTTTGTTTGTTTTTTTCAGATTACCAGCAATGCTACTAGTGACTTAAATATAAAAGTTGATGGGCGTGCTATTGTCCGTGGAAATGAAGGAGTGTTCATTATGGGCAAAACCATTGAATTCCACATGGGTGGTAATATGGAATTAAAGGCTGTGAGTATTTTTTAATTTAAGTGAATTTCTAGATTCTTGGGTACATAAATCCATATTTGGAAAGTATAGTTATGAAAAATGATAGTGTATTTGTATTTTTTGACATGGAAAGATGTTCACAATAGATTATGAAGTGGAAGTAAGTTGTAAAACAATGTGTGAAAAACCTCATTTTTATTTTTCAGATTATATGTATGTTTATAAAAACCTGGAAAGTTATGCCAAAATGTCAACAATGGTTGGTTATGGGCAGCAGAGGGACAGATGATTTTTATTTTATTTCTGCTTACCTGTTATTTTCTAAAAATTTTTTTTTGCATAATGATGCCTATATTATTTTAAAAGGCAAGCAAACAACAACAAAAAAAAACCTTCTTAAAGAATATCAAAATAACTATCCATGTCATGAAGTTGATGGGGTTTTTTCAGTTAAAGATTTTTCATATCCCTTCCTGGGTTTTGTATCCAGTGATGTAAAAATCAATTAGTCAATATATAAAATGTGTTTTTATTTATACATCTGTTATTTAATTGTAAAGGGAAAAGATTTTGCCTTTATTATACCTGTTGAAAAGCAGTTTCCTTTGTGCCTCACAGATTATATCTGAACTTTAATAGGTAACATATTTCATGTAAGGGAGCCATAGTCCAAAAACATTCTACCTGTTTCATAATTCTGGTCAAAGTATATTTATTCAGAATGTCTTTTGGGCACCTGCTCTTTGCTATCCAACTAAAGCTAATTAAATTTATCAAGCATTAAATAACAAAGATGAACTTAAACCTAAGGACTTACAAAATAATTCTTTCCTTTTAAAAAATGTAATCATAGCTCTTGAAGGAAGAAACCTTTAAAAATTAGGTTTTTCACTTTCATAAATATCTTTTTCCTCTGATGAGCATGTTCCAGTCTCTCAATAGTAACTGTGAACGTAAAATGTGATTCTTATCAGAGACTCAGTATCAGTGCTGAGTCCTCTTTGTGTACCCCATAGAAGGAAGCCATCCTTCTGAGAGAGTGGTAGTGTCCCAGGGGCTGTTCTTCTCCACGTCAGAAACTCAGAGAAGCAAGAGATGTGACTGATTGCTTTACAGCTGTTAGCAAATTACCTAAATCTTTTCATTTTTTCTACTTGAAAATTCTACCTGTTGTTACTGTGACATACTTTGAAATACACACACACAGACACACACACACACACACACACCCAATATCTCCACAGTTAAAGAAAAAGAAGCCAGTATTGAAAAGATAATTAGCTTTATCTTTCAGCTAATATCAGAGGTTGGTTTTTAAGTGTGTGGCTAATCATTAGGAAGAATCTTATCAATTAAACTGCCTTTTTTTTTAAAAAAGTGCTAAGACAAATATGATATCACTTATATGTGTAATCTAAGAAATAATACAAATGAATCTATATACAAACTAGAAACTGACTCATGGACATTGAAAACAAACATGGTTACCAAAGGGGAAAGGGAGGCAGGGAGAGATAAATTAGGAGTATGGGATTAACAGATACAAATTACTATACATAAAATAGATAACAAGGATTTACTATCTAGCACAGAGAACTATATTCAAAATCTTGTCATAACTTATAATGGAAGATAACCCAAAAAACATATGTATGACTGAATCTCCTTGCTGTACACCTAAAACTAATACAATATTGTAAGTTAACTATACTTCCCATTAAAAAACTGCTTTACAAATTTAAAGAAAGTAAAATTACATGACCACAAGATGGCAGCATTGGAACAAAATTTGAAAGTTCCATGTACTGTCTCAATTCCATGTACTATCTCTGAAAGAGATGGGAATACCAGACCACCTGACCTGCCTCCTGAGAAATCTGTATGCAGGTCAGGAAGCAACAGTTAGAACTGGACATGGAACAACAAACTGGTTCCAGATAGGAAAAGGAGTACATCAAGGCTGTATATTGTCACCCTGCTTATTTAACTTATATGCAGAGTACATCATGAGAAACGCTGGGCTGGAGGAAGCACAAGCTGGAATCAAGGTTGCCGGGAGAAATATCAATAACCTCAGCTATGCAGATAACACTACCCTTATGGAAGAAAGCGAAGAAGAACTAAATCTTGATGAAAGTGAAAGAAGAGAGTGAAAAAGTTGGCTTAAAGCTCAACATTCAGAAAACTAAGGTCATGGCATCTGGTCTTATCACTTTATGGCAAATAGATGGGGAAACAGTGGAAACAGTGTCAGACTTTATTTTTGGGGGCTTCAAAATCGCTGCGGATGGTGACTGCAGCCATGAAATTAAAAGACACTTGCTCCTCGGAAGGAAAGTTATGACCAGCCTAGATAGCATTTTAAAGAGAAGAGACATTACTTTGTCAACAAAGGTCCATCTAGTCAAGGCTGTGGTTTTCCCAGTAGTCATGTAGGGCTTTCCCAGTGGTCATGTATGGATGTGAGAGCTGGACTATAAAGAAAGCTGAGTGCCAAAGAATTGATGCTTTTGAACTGTGGTGTTGGAGAAGACTCTTGATAGTCCCTTGGACAGCAAGGAGATCCAACCAGTCCATCCTCGAGGAAATCAGTCCTGAATATTCATTGGAAGGACTGATGTTGAAGCTGAAACTCTAATACTTTGGTCACCTGATGCGAAGAACTGACTCATTTGAAAAGACCCTATACTGGGAAAGATTGAGGGCAGGAGGAGGAGGGGACAACAGAGGATGAGATGGTTGGATGGCATCACCGACTCGATGGACATGAGTTTGGGTAAACTCCGGGAGTTGGTGATGGACAGGGAGGCCTGGCGTGCTGCAGTTCATGGGGTCGCAAAGAGTCGGACATGATTGGACAACAATAACATCACTAACATAGTCAATTAACCATTTCCATCACTTCATAATCAACTTTCTTTCATTGCTTTAAGCACCCTCCATAAGCTGATGACTCTCAACTTTGGAACTTCTTTCTCCCCTGAACTAAGATTCATATATCCAACTGCCTTCTTACCTCTCCAGTTCAGTATCTATGAGGCATCTCAATCACAAGTCTAAAAGTCTGCATATCCTTCCTCCCTCCCCAAACATGTATTTCTCTCAGTGTTCACATCTTGTTAAATGCTACCCATTGGTTCGTCAGCGGAGCCTTCGGGCTGTACCTTCAGAAGATGTACAGAGCCTGGCTGATGCTCGCCATCTCCACCAGCACCACCACCATGGTGCAGACCACCGTCATTTCCTGCCTGCACTGCTGAAACAGCCTCCTCTTTCACCCCTGTATGCTGTTCTCTATAAAAACAGCCAAAGCAATCCTTTTTAAAAGATCATGTCACTTCTCTAGTCAGAACCCTCCAAATGTCTTCCCATCTGATTTGGAATAAAATCCCAAGTCCATTCCCTGGCCCCGTGTGTCTGGCCCCTGGTTATTTCTGTGACTCACCTTCTCCTTCAGCCACACTGGCCTCCTGTCTGTTTCTGGAACATAAGTCACACGTGCATATTGTTCTTTCCTTTGCCCAGTCACCCACATGCCCTGCTCCCTCATGTCACCCAGTTTCCATTAGACCTTCCCTGACCTTCCGCTGTACAGTAGAACCCCACCTGGTCACTCTCTCTCTACTTATCCAGACTTGCTTTTTTCAGATGATGTTTGTTTTACCTCTTAAGATGTTTATTGTCTGCCCCTCCCCAGTAAAATATCAGTGTATGAGGACTTGAACTTTGCCTGTCTGTTGACTGCTGTGTACTCAACACCAAGAATGGTATCTGACACATAGGAGACATTTAAAAATTAATCACTGAATGAAGGAAAAGAAGGAAAGGGAAGAAGGGAGAGAGAGGAGTTCCAAAAAAGAGCAAGTCTGCAATATGATAGTGCTCCTGGGACAGTGGGCTTGAAGAAAAGAACTTACAGGCAGTTTTCTTTGAGTATCTGGTCTTCAAAAATATAGCTTGAATCTTCATTTATAGTGTTACCAAAATAATTGGAAATTAAAATTACTTTTCTCTAGGAGAAAAGTTTTCTAGTTTTTCTTTTTCTGTTCATTGTCAGAAACATATCAATCAGACACTTGGTTAAAACTCTTAAGTAGTAGCAAGTGAAAATGATCTGAGACTTGATCAGTGTCAGTCTTATGTGCACTTAGGAATTTTGATATAATTGTTAGCTGAGAAATAAATTGTGTTAAGTGTATAAATACAACTTATGAACAGTTACTGAGAGGTCACTAGTCAAATTTTGATTGGTTTGGGGATTTTTTTTGTTGTTATTTTGGTCATGACTTTACTCTGTCTTACTGCCTTCTATTCTTGCTCATATTCCAGTGAGTTTTGTTTATTATCTTTGTTCTGTCCCTTCTTGTGTGGATAAATAAACCATATGATTTTTCTCCTGATAGGAAAACAGCATCATCCTGAATGGAACTGTGATGGTCAACACGACTCGCCTCCCAAGTTCCTCCAGCGGAGACCAGTTTGGTGGTGATGACTGGGTGCGTTACAAACTCTGTATGTGTGCCGACGGAACGCTCTTCAGAGTGCAGGTGACAGGTCAGAACATGGGCTGCCAGACCTCAGACAACCCCTGTGGAGACCCGTACTAGAAGAACCCAAGAGGACATCAATAGATTCATATTGTGACTTTTTATTTTTTTAAGACTAGGCATGCATATCATGTTTTTACAGAGTTTGTGGTAACTCATTTATTTAATCTGCAGTGCACTGCTGCATCTATTATGTAGTCTCCATGTTTAAAATAGTCTCAGAGAGCCTAAATTCTAATACATTTCATTGAGTTGCACTGATCTTCAATTTACGGTTCTCTAAAATTATTGAGAGAAGTGAATATAATCAAAATTAGTCTTTAAAGAAGTATTTTTAAAATGCCACTGTTCCTGTCTAAAGGATAAAGGGATGAAGCAACTGTAGACTCACTATAAGTAACTTTTGGTAACTAATGGGGTTAGACCCACTTAAGATATTTAAAGGTACACCATCAATAAATGTTACATGTTCTGTCCTTAGGCTTCTAAGAGAAAAGACAGATTTTTAGTGCATTACTTTCAACTATATTCTCACATACAAGTGAGGTCACTAAAGAGCTTCACATATGGGAGATAGTAAGGAACTAAAGGTCCGTATTGTCACAGCTATGGTTTTTCCAGTAGTCATGTACGGGTGTGAGAGTTGGACCATAAAGAAAGCTGAGCACTGAAGAATTGATGGTTTTGAACTGTGGTGTTGGAGAAGACTCTTGATAGTCCCTTGGACTGCAAGGAGATCCAACCAGTCCATCCTAAAGGAAATCAGTCTGAGTATTCATTGGAAGGACTGATGTTGAAGCTGAAACTCCAATACTTTGGCCACCTGATGCGAAGAGCTGGCTCATTTGAAAAGACCCTGATGCTGGGAATGATTGAGGGCAGGAGGAGAACGGGACGACAGAGGATGAGATGGTTGGATGGCATCACTGACTCAACGGACATGAGTTTGAGTAAACTCCGGGAGTTGGTGATGGACAGTGGCATGCTGCAGTCCATGGGGTCACAAAGAGTTGGACACGACTGAGTGACTGAACTGAACTGAACTGATGGTTCCTTAGTTTTGCACTAGCAAGAAAGTACTAAGAGAATGTCCACTCATTAAATGTTCATTTACTTGTTAAATACTGTGTTTGCAATGTGGTAGAAATGAAAGCACTATCTCAGCTTTATCTAGGAAATGATGATAGCTGTCATTTATTGAGCATCTTACACTGCTAGGCATTGTCTTAAGCATTGCACATGTAATGTCTAGTTCTCACTACAAACTCTATAAGCAGATGTTATCCCAGTTTACCCATTTAGGAAGCTGAGGATTAGAGAAGTTAAGAAACTTGCCTGAGGAAAGAACAGAGTTGCGATTGGAATTCAGATGTGATTCAAACCTAGATGGACCTGTTTCTAAATACCACATTCTTTTTATCAATATCTGTACTGGATTTTTAGGTATTTAAAACTCTAGAAAGATAAACAGAGGCTAATTCAGATTTACTTGTGCAGATAAGAATCAAAACAGTTGTGCTACTCTAGATAAAAGAAAATCAATCTCATGTCACATAACTGACCAGTCAATGTCAGATTTTGAAGTTTCTTAGGCCAATTACAAAATACTATGCTATAGAGAGGTCATAGTTGTGGGTTACCCCCATACCCCATCTGGGGTGCCTGAATGGGTAAAGGGGTTGCCAAGATATGTATACCTCAGCCTTTGGGGTGGCACAGTGGGAGACGGGGAGGTCATGTCCCAGGTGAGCCCCAGGCTGGAGAGTTTGCCCCAGGCTGGAGAGTTTACCCCAGCGAGCCAGACAGATTAACCTTTTTAATATGTGTCAGACCTTGAGAGGAGTCAGGAAGCGCTGGACTAAAGGGCGCTAATGCAGGAAGTAATATGAGTAATTTTTATGTAAGAGGAGAATTGATCTTTGCTTCTAACGTCAGCACCCATCGTAATGATTTACCACCCTCAAGCCCGTTGATTTTTCATGTGTTTTATGTTTGGCTTGAATTCTGGTGGTATTAACACACACGCAGCATCAGGAAGAGAGGCATCAAAGTAGTGAGCCATAAAGTAGGCAGCCGAGATAAGCCATAAACCCCATTTTGCATTTAAACATAACAGTATTCTGTCCTTGACACTTTGAACTATATAGATGAGAAAATCAGTACAAAAAGAATTTGCATTCAGTATTGTCACAGTCTCTCTGATAGAAAAACCAAACCAAAAAACAGTAGAGACTAACTTACCTATTACTGAGTATGGTTTTTAAGTGAAGAAAACAGAGAGGAAGTGAAATTTATGACCTCTGGGTATTGTTAGTTGGAGTGATATTCAAAATCCATATGAATATTATTCAGTTTCACTTAATATCTGAATGATATTCAGAAAAAAAATCCATTGGAATTTTCATTCAGCTGCTCAGTATATTTGTAAATTTTACATTCATTACATGTCTGCTTTATTTAGATTTGCTTTGGAGTTTTGTTTCGATAAATATTTTTACAAAAACCACAAAACACTATGTTACAAAGTATTATTTATTGAATGTAATTCATGAAACAATCTGTTTTTACTTCTCTGAGAAATAACTTGTCTTTTATGCATTTCCATAAAGTGCTTTGGACATGAGAGAATATTTTGATGTTTTTATGGAACTGATGTTAAGGTAACAGGTATAGTATTTTAGGACACTTTATAGGTAGCTTGTGCTTCTTCATTGAAACATAGACCTGGAAAATTCCCTGGGAAGCAGAACAAGAACAAACCATCCATTTTGCATAACAGTAAAGCCTCAGCTACTCATTCTCACCATCAGATGGTATTTTTCTATAAACTGAATTCTTAACTTTGCCTCTTCTGCTGATTATATCAAACACTGATTCGACAGGCAACAGATTTGGGGTGAATAGAAGACAAAGACAGGATCCCAGGAAAATGGGACAGACCCACGCTTGTTTAAATAACTACACTCCTTTAGAGGTAGATGACAGTGACAAGGGGGACAAATGAAATGAAAGCAAGGTATTCCAGAGGCTGTCTAATGGGCAGGTGGGAAGAATGCAAAACAACACACAGTAGGGACTATCTATGTGTTGTCTGTAATATTTTAACATATACTTGTGCTCTTTTTGCATTATTAAAAAAACAAATGGTGTATGATAGTTTTGAATGAACAGTGAAAGTTCTACCTAGTTTTGAGTGAGTTCTTTAAAAGAATGAGGATGTTAACGGTGCTAAACTTGACAAAAAAAGAGAGACCATTGAAATACTGATAATTTTAGTAACCTTTTTTCAAAGCATTGAGGGGGCAAAGATTACAAATTATGCCGTACAAAAATAAACATATAAATCTGAGTTACTAATTTGACTTTCAGTTGAGTCAGTTTGTAATAACTATAAATGACCTCTGTTTACAATAAAGATTCTATAAAATTGTTTGCTGTTGATTTTTTAATTGTTAAAATATTGGCAGGTTTCTACTCACTCCTGTAAACGTGTTGAATAGCTTGAGAATTGGGCACCACCAGTATTTATGTCATCTCTCTGGAATCCTAGAGCTCGGAGGGAAAAGTTGTACAGCCCCAGTCTGGAAGGTCCTGCCCTCTGCACTGCAGAAGGCCTCTCTCTCTGCTGGCTTTTCCCCAGCATCCCAGGGGAGTGTGCACAACGGTCTGTCCTCTCTGCAAGAGGCCAGAGCTTAGATAGGAAAGGGTTAAAGGTTTGCCAGAGGGCAGGCTCCAGGGCCGATGGGCGGAGCCTCAGAGGCTCAGGTCTAAAATCCTCACCTGGTATGATTCAGAGAGAGACCCACTGGAAAAAGTCCCTGAGGATCAGAGGTATGCCCAAGAAACTGTTCCTGTTGTGTGCTTTCTCCATCTTGGCAGAACTAGCCTCTTGTGCCTTTTTCTCCTAATTGTGGTGACTTCTCTTTCATATAGGAATGGACTCATTTCCTTTCTACTTTATGATTTTCCTACTGCTTTCTCCCTACCTCTCTCACTGACACACCCCATATTTCTAACTGCTTCCTCATAACTTCAGCTTGAATCTGTCCATTTATAGATTTACATTTCACCTAATTGTCTCCAATAGCCTCAGAAAATATTTCTGGAGTTCTCAGATGTTCCTTACCTAACATATAAGTTTGTTTTAGTGTATATATATATATATATATAGATATAAAGACTTTTGAATTTATTTTTAATTGGAGGATAATTGCTTTACAATGTGTTGGTTTCTGCCATACGACACTGCAGAGGGGACATATATATATTATGGCTGGTTTGCATTGTTGTATAATATTTTTTAATTTATGAATTAATACCTTTCACTTTAAGATATAAAATTATCCTTATCAGCTGTTTTGAAGTCAAATCTACTAGTTACAGATAAATGTCTTCAACTTAGATTTTTTTTTTTAAGTCCCCTTAAGAAAAAATTTTTGAACCACATGTTTCTCTTTGATATTATAGTATGCCTATGAATGATGACTTTTTTCTGTTATTGCTGATATTGTGACATTAGCTTGCTATATAATTGTATACTGATGATTTCAGCTTTGAATGTAGTAACAAATACTTTTCTGACTATACAAATTAATTCAATTGCTGGTATTACATAAGAAGTACACTTTAAAAATCAGTCACTCCTCCATGCTGTAGGGCACCTTTGCAGTTCATGGCCATGTGTACCTGAATTTAGATGCCCTTCAAAAATATGGGAGATTTGATCTTATATGAAACCAAAGTTTAAAAAGTTACATGGTCAGTTTCATTCACTCCCATCTATTCATTTATCCAAGCAGAGTATAACCCTATGACAGACTGCAGACTTAAACATTTAGAACATGGGGGGAAATATATAAATTTAGATGATAAATAGGTTGATGATACAGATATACCCCAATTTATAGATAGCATAGTCCTATGACAGATTGAAGACTATTAAAAGTATTTTTCAAATAGGGGAAGTTTTATCTTTATGTATGTGTATATAAATTTTAGATGATAAATAGGTTGATATAGATACAGCCCTATTTATATATAGCATAGTCCTATGACTGAAGAGTATTAAAAATGTTAAAAAGTGGGGGAACTTTTTCTATATGTGTATGTGTATATATATAAAAACATGGCCCTTACCATCTGGGAGCTGTTGTCTTTTGGGGTGTTTAAAAACAGATGCAAAGCAAAGCAATGCAGGATAGTATTGCTATTCTGTCAAATTGAATGTTACTAACTTATATTCATTCATTCAATAAATATTGAAAGGTTTCTGGACAAAAAAAGCAGGAAAAAGGGTCTTTAGGCCATAAGATCTGTGATAGATCTAGAAGGACATACATAGGTTTTGAACTGAGAAGAGGAAAGGGCTTTGGGCTTGGAATTGGAGTGAACCAAAAGCTGGTTTTTACATGAGATCTGCATATATATTGAGGTGCACAAGCCTCATCTCGTAGGTACTCCACATGTGCTTTCAAAACTAGTTCATAAAGTTATGTAAACAATACAAAGCCTAGGATGCCGACCCGACGGATTTGGACTATAGGCACTGAGGATCCCTTTAAGGATTTTGAATGAGGGAATGAAATGAGGAAAACAGTACTGTGGGGAAGTAACCCTTCGGAATTTCATTGGATAAACCAAGAAGGAGAATCAAGAGGCAGTGAAAATGGCAGGAAGACTAGTTAGCCCACTCTAGCACTCAGATGAGTGATGGGAATGACAGTGGTGCCATTGAGGCAGGAAGGGCGATTGGTCATAAAGCTGCCTGCTGACGCAGGTGGTCATCTGTTCACACATTGATTTTTTTCATGGAATTTCGTAATTAAATCACAAAACTACTCATTTACTTTTCTTTTAAAATTGTTTTTGTGTATACCTTCAGGTATGGTGATTTGTAGATACTTGTTTTAAAGCTTTTGATTGCTTTCAATAATCCGATGAAAAAGATAATTGAGTTTCTGTATCTTCATGGGTCCTAGGCAAAGCATCCTTTTTATAACCCCCACCTTTTTATTTGAAAGGTCACCAAAAGCCACAAAGACAAAGCTTGTAGTTCCTCCAGTCATTTAAAAAAATCATAAGTCTCTTTTATGAGTTGAACTTTTCACCAATACAGTTCTGTGGTTTAGTGTAACTAGATGACTTGTCTCTCACATGGTGAAGCACGTGGCTGATTACAGTGGTGTAAGATAAGCATAATAGACTCCTCGGTGCTGATGACCAGCAAGGAACAGGGAAGTGTTTAATCTTGGTAGGTTTCCCTCATTCTAAAGAAGACTGTAGGGTGAATGGTCCTGGAAAAGCAGACACAGAGGTGAGACCCAAGCGAATATGTATTTTTTGACGGATTGGGGTCGGGGGAGAGGGTCTTTCTTTTTAAATGTGACATAAATGTAATTTTACACTATTAGCTGTATACCATTTTGGCAGTTATATTTTACCTCAATTTGTAAGAAATAAAACATCCACTTAAATTGACAATCAAGGCAAGATAACTTTACTAAGTCTTAAATTGAAAATTAAATTTTCTGCTTATTTGCTGTTTGTACATAAGTCATTTTGAATAAGCCAATTTTTCTTTCTCCAGGCATTATGAAAAACCCGTGTTTCCAAGTGATTGCCATGGTTATAGGTCTTTATTTTACCGGCACAATGACAAACCCATCAAGAAAAAGCAGTATTTTATTCAGTTCCAAGTGCCAATGGAATGGATATCTTACAACAAATTGTTCTTTTGCTCGAAAGCATGAAACACCCGTGGACATAAAACAGATAGCACCCACGGTGGATGAAAGTTCCAATCTCTTTATGGTTCTCTTAAAAACTCACATGAAAAAAGAAGAATGGAACATAAAACACCTGGACCTTAGTAACAATCTCATATCAAAAATAACCTTAAGCTCTCTTGAACATTTTCATGCTTTGGAAATATTAAACCTCAGCAACAACGCCATTCACTCAGTATTATTGGATCTACCCAGTTTTAAGTCCTCATGGGTGAAACGCCACAGAGGCAGCTTGAGAAATTGGCTTCCATTTCTAAAGTTGCTTACTCTTCAACGAAATAAACTCAGCAACATTCCCAAGGGTAAGTACAATTTTAAAAGATGGACAAAGAAACCACGAGTATTTGGAGAGCTAATGTGCATGCTTAGTTGCTCAGTCACCTCTGATCCTAGCGACCCTTTTGACTGTACCCGACCAGGCTCCTCTGTACATGGGATTTTTCAGGCAAGAATGCTGGAGTGGATTACCATTTACTTCTCCAGAGAAACTTCCCGACCCAGGGATCAAACCTGTGTCTCCTATGTCTTGTGCATTACAGGCAGATTCTTTACCCACTGAGTCATAATGTTTTGTGTCAATAAGAATTCCAGGTTTGTTTTCAGTTTCAGGAAAACAGCTGAAAGTATAGCAATTTGATCAGAGTAAATATAATAAGAGGACTTCCCTGGTGGTTCATATGGTAGACTCTGCCTGCAACGCAGGAGACTGTGGTTCAATCCCTGAGTCAGGAAGACACCCTGGAGAAGGCAATGGCAACCCACTACAGTATTTTTGCCTGGAAAATCCCATGGATGGAGAAGTGTGGAGGGCTACAGTCCATGAACATGGGGTCACAAAGAGTCAGACACGACTGAGTGACTAATTCTTTCACTTTCACTTTTCAAATATAATAAAAGGAGTTTCTTATGAGAATTTTAAGTTTATAATATGTGGAATTTCAAGTCAGTGTAATTTAATCTCCTGTTGCCATAACTTATATTGGTATTATATGAATTTGTCAAGAGATACTAATAATAGAAAGTATTTAAGTGCTAAATAATAATGCATTATTTTAAATTACCTAATTTGATTTATGTATATTTGTTACTAATTAGCATTGAGAAATAACTAGTTCAGATACTTTTAATAGTTAAATGTTGCCATATTTATAACTTTTGTTTTTACAGAATACATTTTACATCTACTTATCTAGTTCTTCTCCAAATGTAGACTATATATATGCTAATATTATATGTAAACTCTTATTATTAAATCAAAATTAGAACTCATCAGAACACATACTATCCTATTTTATAATAAATACTCATCCATGCTGATACTCAGTAATCTACCTGTTGGAGTTCCTCAACTCCAATGTTTTTATTTAGAAAATACATATAATAATACTAAAAATAATGTTTTATATTTTTATATTTTATAATAGTAATGATGTTTTATTTAGAAAATCAGATTTGTAAGCCACAGCTTCCTTTTTGTATTCAGGAAAACTGCAGAGTTTCCTTTCCCTATTTGTTTTCAGTCTCAGTCACTATGCTAAGTACTTACTTTATATTACACCCTATGGTGGCGCTAGTGGCAAAGAACCTGCCTGCCAATGCAGGAGATGCAAGAGACATGAATTCAGTCCCTGGGTCAGGAAGATCCCTGGAGGAGGGCAGGGCAATGCACTCTAGTATTCTTGCCTGGAGAATCCCTTGAACAGAGGAGCTTGGCAGGCTACAGTTCATAAGGTTGCACAGAGTCAGGCATGCCTGGGACAACTTAGCACACATGCATGCACATGCTAAGAAAATGTAAGAATATTTTCATTTTTCTCCATCTCAAATTATATATAGTTTTTCTCATTTTCAGTTCTCTAATTTCATGTTTTTATTTTTTTTTTATTCATTTATTTTTTGCTCTTTTACCAGTTTTTGGTCCTGTTGTAAGCATAGTTGTGACAATAATAGCCTGGCTGGTGAAGGGACAACTGCTCCAGTCCCCACATCAGCAGAATTGTGTGAGGACAGGAGTCTTCTCTCCCCGACCTTTGCCATAGAAGCAGCGTGTAGTATTTTCAGTGCATAATTGCATTTTATGATTTTTATTATATTCTTATTGTAAAAGAAATGCCTATTATTTGTAGAATATTAGGAATTAAAGAAAAATTTAAAGGGAAACATTAAAGTCCCTCATGTAATATATATTCTTCAACTTTATTCTTTATGCCTACCTATATATTTTTCTTTCAAAATTGTATCCTACTGCCCATATGTCATAACATAATTTTATATCACAGAATATTTTGAACATCATACATAATTAAGCAATCTCATAAATATTTTAAATAGTCAAATAATTTTCATATATGTTAGTTGCTCAGTTGTGTCCAATTCTTTGCAACCCCATGGACTGTAGCCCACCAGGCTCCTCTGTCCATGAGATTCTCCAGGCAAGAATATTGGAGTGGGTAGCCATTCCCTTCTCCAGGAGATCTTCCCAACTCAGGGATAGAACCTGTGTCTCCTGCACTGGAAGGCAGATTCTTTACATCTGAGCCACCAGGGAAGCCCCAATTTTCATATATACATATAATCAGTTCAGTTAAATAGCATTTAGATTATTTCCATTTTGTTTGCTATAACTTTTTGATGAACATCATTAAAGCTACACATACTCACATGATATAGCAGTGTTTCCTAACTAGGGTGTTAAATGTGAATCTCAACCCACAAATACAGGTTAACTGGATATGTAACTATTGATTATAATTCAGCAGAATTTCTAATTCTGAGCCCCCATTCTGCTAGCATCAGTTAGGGTGGGATGAAGAGAGAGTGACAGTTAACCTCAGTCTTTCATGGACTTTCATTTGTCTTTTCCTAGATTTGTACCACAGCTCTAGAATCTTATATCCCAACAAGGCATCAAAGTGTGTGTGTGTGTGTGTGTGTGTGTGTGTGTGTGTGTGTGTGTGTGTGCGCGCGCACGTGCACACATGCTCATATATGTATCCCTTACCCCTTCTAGCCAGAGAACATTTCTTTTCAGTTCTTCAGTTTGGAGGAAATGCTTACCTGCTTTTGTTTCTTCACAATCCTCTATCTAGATCTAGAAATTCCTTTCCTGTAAAGATTTAGGCCTTTGGTAAACAAAAGCCAAAAAGACATGTTTGCACTCTGCTTTCTGCCTTATGATGTACCTTCGGGGGCTCCTGTCTAGCTGCTGCGTGCGGGCTTCTCACTGCGGTGCCTTCTCTTCTGTGGCGCACAGGCTCTAGGCATGCGGGCTTCAGCAGTTGCAGCACTCGGGCTCAATAGCTGAGACTTGCAGGCCTTAGAGCTAGGGCTCAGTAGCTGCAGCATGTGGGCTTAGTTGCTCCGTGGCACGTGGAATCTTCCCCAACCAGGGAGCCAACCTGTGTCCCCTGCATTAGCAGGTGGATTCTTTCCACTGTGCCACCAGCGAGGGCCTCCCCTGGAACAATTAACACAGATCTTTTACTTTCTGCTTGAGTGGAGAGAAAGGAAATAAGGGAAAGAGATAGGCAAAAGATTAATATGTCAAAATATTAGCCCACCACAACAGTAAATAGAAAAATGCTGACTGGCTCCTTAAGGCAGATGAATTCCCCAGAGCTCACTGGAGGTTAGGATGAATACATTTCATTTAAGGACCAAATATCCCTATAAAATGCAGATACAGTCCTATCTTCTTTTCTCAAGTTAAACTTTTGCTTCCCAAAAATATCAGGAAATATGTTAAAAACTTCCAAAGGAGGGGGGAAAACATATGAAATGAGCAAATCCTGTATCTGAAATTCTATTTAATAATAGAATTCTAGCATATAGAACTATGGAGAGATGAATAAAACAGATCAATGATGGAAGTCCAAGGTAAGCCCTAAATCTCATTGGTTATACTTGAGTTCTTTTATCCATAGCATTTTGTGATTTGAAGTGTTTTTCTGTAATCATCATATACTTTTAGTTTTTACTAGGTTGAGTCCCCTCTAGCGTACCTTCCCACTCATCATTCTGTGACTATGGTTAGGTAACAAATTTGTTTTTGTCTAAATCTCATTATCTTTTAAAATGTTAAATAGTTATTGCAGTAGAAGTGATCCTAGCCCACTCTAATTCATAATTATAATCCATAAGCAGAGAATCATTTGTATCTAACTGTTTATATAGGTAAATAGTTAGATTTACAATGATCAATACAAAGTAATAGAGGAAAATAATAGAATGGGAAATACTAGAGATCTCTTCAAGAAAATTAGTGATACCAAGGGAACATTTCATGCAAAGATGGGCACAATAAAGGACAAAAAAGGTATGGACCTAACAGAAGCAGAAGATATTAAGAAGAAGTGACAGGAATACCCAGAACTATACAAAAAAGATCTTCATGACCAAGATAACCACAGTGGTGTGATCACTCACCTAGAGCCAGACATCCTGGAATGCAAAGTCAAGTGGGCCTTAGGAAGCATCACTACAAACAAAGCTAGTGGATGTGATGGAATTCCAGCCGAGCTATTTCAAATCCTAAAAGATGATGCTGTGAAAGTGCTGCACTCTATGCCAGCAAATTTGGAAAACTCAGCAGTGGCCACAGGACTGGAAAAGGTCAGTTTTCATTCCAGTCCCAAAAAAAGGCAATGCCAAAGAATGTTCAAACTACCGCACAATTGCACTCATCTCACATGCTAGCAAAGTAATGCTCAAAATTCTCCAAACCAGGCTTCAACAGTACGTGAACTGTGAACTTCCGGATGTTCAAGCTGGATTTAGAAAGGGCAGAGGAACCAGAGATCAAATTGCCAACATCTGTTGGATCATCAAAAAGGCAAAAGAGTTCCAGAAAAACATCAACTTCTGCTTTATTGACTATACCAAAGCCTTTGACTGTGTGGATCACAACAAACTGTGGAAAATTCTGAAAGAGATGGGAATACCAGACCACCTTACCTGCCTCCTGAGAAATCTGTATGCAGGTCAAGAAGCAACAGTTAGAACTGGACATGGAATAATAGACTGATTTCAAATCAGGAAAGAAGTACATGAAGGCTGTATATTGTCACCCTGCTTATTTAACTTCTGTGCAGAGTACATCATGAGAAACACTGGGCTGGATGAAGCACCAGCTGGAATCAAGATTGTTGGGAGATATATCAATAACCTCAGATACACAGATGACACAACCCTTATGGCAGAAAGCGAAGAAGAACTAATGAGCCTCTTGATGAAAGTAAAAGAGGAGAGTGAAAAAGTTGGCGTAAAGTTCAACATTCAGAAAACTAAGATCTTGGTATCTGGT